CAACAGGCCCCCCCCTTTTAACAATGAGTTTTTTTTTTTTTAAATAAAAGAGTTTTTGCCTTTTTAAAACCCGGGGAAAATATAGCAAAAAATTTTTAAAGGTTGCTACTTGAGAAAAACTTTAACCCAAAAAGTAAAAATACCCTGTGGTTCAAATTAAAAAATTTTTATTGGGAAAAAAAATGAGAGAACTAGGGGCTAAAAAACACATCCTCCAAAGACCCGATATTTACATGGGGAAAGTGGCAGATAAAATTTGGCCCTATTTCTGATCTTTTTGGGTTTTATTAAAGCTTTACTTCCCCCTAAATTTTCAGGAAACTTCTTTTTTTTACTTTTCCAGAAGAATTTAAAAAATTTAAAACCTTTCCCTCATAATTTGCAAGTTAAATTATGTATAAAAGGGGAAAAAATAAACGCTGCTTTAAACTAATTTAAAGAAATTAAAATAAAATAAATACCAACCTTAAACACTGTCTTTTAAACCTACTAACACGGTAAGGAAACAACAGGAAACTACCTTTAAAAAATGTCGGGGAGAACCAAAGATTAAAAAGCCCGATACCAGCCCCCTTTTTTTAATTTTTCTTAAATATGTTTTTATTTTTTATATTAAATCGAATTTGAAACAAAACCCTTTCGCTGTATTTCAAAGTTAAAATCACACTTTTTGTGAATCCCCATTGAACTTGTTTCCCTTTTTGTCCTCCATTGCACTCCAATTGGGAGCTTAGCTGAGCAAAATCAACGGGAAATATTCAGGGACCACGTGACCCCCATGTGGGGTTTTTTCCCCCCTAGCGGGTCGCCACGGGGCACTTTTTAAATCCCCAAAAAAATATCTTCACCCCCGCAAAACCCGGGCTTAATGCCCCCATTTTCTGAAAAATTTAAAGGGCACAAAATGCATGTTTTTTCCAAAATTGGTTTGATTTTTAAAAAAAAGTAGTCCCAAAAAGTACTTTTTAATGTTTGATTTTGGGAACGTTAAACTGATTAGGCCCCTTTGGGATTTTTTTGAAAACTTTTTTTTTTTTTTTTGCAAACCCGAATTTTTAAAAAACCCTCAAAATCAAACTGCGTGAGATCGAGAAAGGAAAGAAGACACAAAAAGGGGAAACAAAACCTCCTCCCCAAAAAAAACCCAAAAAACCCAAGTACAAATGACCGCAGGGGGTTAAATGAGAAGGGTTCAAAGAAAAAAAGGGAACATAAACTGACTCAAACCCAAATTGGGGCTTGCTTAAAGTTATTTTTCCCCCTCTCTCTCTTGTTTCCCTTTAAAGTGTATGGGATGGTGGTGTAGGTTTTTTAATTGGGCGTTTTCTAGATATTTCATGTGCTTTTTTGACAAGATGAAAAATGCAAGGTCATGAAAAAAAGTTTTAAAAAAAGAGTTGGGGTAAAAAGCAGGGGCCGTCTCTCTGTCACTCAAAGGTTTACAATCAAAAAGGGAGGGGCTTCCAAATAAAGCCCCCAGGGGGGTGAGAAACAGGGGGCTTTACAAAACTTTTTAAAGAACAAAAGGGACACAACCAGTCCCGCATCCTGTGTGTTTTGTTTTTTTACAAAACAGCACTGTTAAAAAGGTATGAAAAACCCGCACAAAGGGGGAAAATTTTTTCCCCCTTTTTCCCCCAAAGCAGGAAGAAAGGGGCGGAGGAGGAGGAGGAAAAAGGAGGAGGGTGTGGGGGGGAGGGGAGGGTATAAAACCTTTATTACAGCTCTTTTTAAAAAACAAGGGAACACAGCAGTCGCAACCAAATGTGAGTTATTACATTGCAATACAGTAAAGAAAATTAAAACTTTTTTTAAAAAAAAGGGTTTTCCAGAAAATGTACCCCGGTATGACATCAGCCCCCGTAGGGAACTTTTTTCCCCCCTCTCTCTCTTTCCCCTTTTCCTACCACCCGGGGGAAACGAAGGGGGGAAAAAAAGTGTATTTGGGGTGAAAGGACTAATACCACCCCTAAGAAAAAGGTAAACCCAAAAAGAAAGACACCATTGATAGGTGTATTTCATAAAATACCCTTTCATGAAAACAAGATGTTTGGGAAATTTTAAATTGTTTTTTAAGTAAAGGGGAAAAAGTAAAAAGGGGGGCCTGACAAAACCCTTACATAAGCCGAGGGGGGAAAGGTTTTTTTCCCCAGACTCCTAGACATCCTCCCAGCCAATCAGAAAAAAAACAAGGGCTGCACGATATTGGGGAAAAAAAATTTCATTTCAATATTTTCTCCCCCCAAAAGTACATATTGCGATTTTGGGGAGCCATATCAATTCAGGCTAAAAATCAATAATTTCCCCTTCCCCTATATTAAAATTAATTAAATAAAACAAAGGGAAACCAAATTTCAGTGCAAAATAAAAAAAAACCGTTTGGCCATCAATTTATAAATTTCCGTTTTTAAAGGGGTTTTATACAAATTGTCAGCTTTCCCAAAAACTCCAAGTAAATAAACGTTAACCCCCTTTTTGGTAACAACCCCCTTTTTTTTAGCCGAAAAAGGTCCCCCCAAAAAGTGTTTCCCCTAAGCTCGCACCCTGTGTGCACTGCCCCCGCATTCCCCATGCACAAGTATAAAAAATGTACAACTAAAAAGTCATTCACCATAGACGCATAAATTAATATTTTAAAAACATAGTCTAAAACAAAAAAATGACAAATAAAAAATTTTTTTCTTTTTTTAAAGGGCCTTTTTTAACTTTGCCCCAAAAAAGAGTGACAGTGGGCCAGCCAAAATACGGTCTATTTATGCTACGTTTAAATAATCATAGCATTGATAGTGCTTTTTTATGTGCCCTTCCCCCTACGTGCCGGGCAGGTTTGCTACAGCTAACAACAACCAGCGGATTTCCCCGTTAAAATGTTTAAAAATAGAAACATAAAAGGGTTAAAAGACACAACCCCCCCACACAAACTAAAATTAAAGATAAAAGAAATGTGTGTGTGGGGGGGTGGGGTGTGGGTGGCGACAGGGGTGCACATGTTGCTCGCAGGGTCCCCCAGTTTTGCTCTTGGGGGGTTGTGAATAACGTTCACCCCCAGAATCAAAACCCTCCCTTTTAGAAAATGAAGTTATAGAACAAATTTAAAATTTTTTTCTTTTCCTTTTTGTCCTTTTTTTCCGTAGACAGCTGCTGAAGTTAGAAAACCCCCACCTGATAAAAAGATTTTGGGGAAAAGAAAATTCGACCAAAAAAGCAAAGAAAATTTGGGAGGAGTTAGGAATGAACTCCCAAAATCTTAAAAAGGGAAAAAAAAACCTGAAAGACATTATCTTTAAACGTAAAATTTTTCTAATTTAATTAAATTATTAGCAGGGTTTTTTCAGGAGATTGGAAATTTTTTTTTCGTGGGAGGGAAGTTAAACTTTTGAAAAATTTTATGGGGTTTCAACACATTTTGGAAAAATAAAATTTCCATGTTGTTAGCCCGGTGAGGTAAATGGGTAAATCTCACAAACCCCCAAAAGATTTAAAATTAAAAATTTTAAAACTGCAAGCACGATGGGCGGGGGGGCCCCTTTCCCCGTGCGGGGTGCTATTTTTATTTTTAGGATTGTCATTTATTCTTGGTAAAATTTTATTCTAGATATCCCCCCAAAATTTAAAATGACCTCTCCATTAAATTTCCAAAAGGTAAATTTTTTTTCTGATTGTCATTGTTTTTTAAAATTTTTTTCTTTTGGCAAAAAGCTGTTAAAAGGAAAATTTTTGGGTGTTAAAACTAATTTAAAGTGTTAATTATTTCATGTAATTTTCACTTTAATGTATTGGGAAATGACTAACTTATTTTTTTTTTATGGGCAAGGGCGGAAGGGCCCCCTGTGGAAGATCTTGATTCCCCCCCCCTTTACTTTTTTTTTGCAAAAACCCGGGGTAACCCCCTCCCCATTTTTTTTATTTATTAAATTGTAAAAGGGTTTCTTAAACAACTGTAGGGTTTGATTTTTTTTCGCTGATTACTTTTTGGGAAATTTACTTTAATTTTTTGAACCTTTTTTAATTTTTCCAAAACCCGTAAATAAGAATCATTGGCTTTCCCTTGGGGTAATAAAAATTTTTTAGTAGATTTTTTTCTAAACCCTATTTCCGGAATAAAAGGTTTTGCCCGGGTACAAGTTGCCCAGCCCTTAAAAGCTTTAAAAAGGGGAAAAAAAAAAATATATAAGGTTAACACTTTGGGGTAAAAGTCCCAATTTTTTTTTTGGTTTTCCCCCGGGGGGGTGGGGGATATAGTAAATAACTTGGGGTTTCCCTCCACTCTTCTACCCCAAACCCCCCTCCCCCACCCCGCACACCCTCCGCGCAAACCCTGCTTCTTCCCCCCGCTAAAGTGGGGTTTTTTTGGTTTTTTAAAAAAAACAGGTGTAATGATATAAACCCGGGAAAAATGTGTAATAATTTCACACCAAGTCGCTCCTATATAAGTCCACCCCCCGGGGCCAAAATATGAAAAAAATTGGGAACTTATAGTCCCGGAAAATACAGTATGTTTTTTTTCCTTTTAAAGGGGTTCCAGAAAGGAGATTAGCAAGAGGGAAACCGAGCCCTTTAAAAAGAGTCACATGGTGACTGAGCTCGTTGGAGAGACATCCCAGGTGTGTGTAACCCTTTTATACCTCAGATTTTTCTGTACTTATTTCACTTAAGGCTCCAACTGAGCTATAAGGATTTTTATGTTGGGATAGTTAGTGGTAATATATAATTTACTTGCCCCACATGCATAAAGTTGTTGAAGTTTTACAATTGTTGAATTTAACAATGTTTTTCTTCTCAAACAAGACTCCATCAAGAGCTGAGACCTCAGCAAAAACACAGGTGAATAACATATTATGTAGTAATACATATTATGTGCTTTGTAGTAGCCAATTAGTGTTATAAGTTTAGGGCAATGATTATTTTGATTCATATCTTTATCATTAATCTGCATTTATAAAACCTATTTACTATTGGGAAACTAAGCATAAGAATCAATATGAAACATAATTCATCGTTTGCTCACTTCTTGATCCTACCTTTTGTCTTCTTAAGCCACATTTCTGGGGTATTGCACTGTAAGGTGTGTTGTCCTCTATTTTGTAGGACATATAGTGTTGCAAATAACTCCATTGCATGTTGTCGTCTGAAGGGTTAATAAAAAATCATATTCACCCCTCCTTCACCCTTAAACCATTCTGTCCTGTGTTTGTGCCTTAGTTTGTCTTTACCGGTAATGGATTTGCTTGATTTTAATGCGTGCCTTATTTCTCTTTGAGTAAACCTATCATGGCAGCTCGCCAGTGGAGTGGGTCAATGGGAGGCCATTGTAAAGTATTTTGGGTACGGTTGGGTGCAGGAAAAATTCTACAAAAGTGCAGTTTTGACAACGATATATGTTTACATGTGTAAAGTTTCTTACATCAGATTAAAAATTTGAGGGATTAGAAACTCTGAATCACTTTACATGTTAACAAATAATCCAAAGTGCATATGCATCAAGCCTTATTCAGAATAATAGCATGTGATGTTTCCAATCAGAATTCATTTTAGATTTAGAGTCCAATCAGAATCTTTCAATTGACATGTTTACATGACATATTTTTTATCATGGTGAGCCCTTTATCCAAAATATGTGTCCAATTGCAGCAAGCAGTAAGCACTTTGGGTTCCTGATGAAGTGGTATTTTAATATTATTTTTTGGTCTTCTCTAGATGCTACATTGAAGAAGTGGCCTGCAGTCAGCCGAGGGCAGCTAGGCACATCTATTAATTCAAAGCTCACAGAGCTGAGAAGATCTACAAGATAATTTCTTGGGGGGTATTTCTGTAAATTTTTTTGTTCTTGTACTTTGATTGTTCTTAAGTTAATAAATAATGTTAAATATCTGCATTTTGGGCTATTATTTATGTTGCCTAGTAGCTATGGATTTTTATAATTTTGCTAATACATAGGTAAACAAGTGCATATATGTGTGGATTGATATAGGTAAACGTATCAGCGGATATAGCTACATGTATGCACATGATCTTCACATATAGGTACATGTATGCACGGATATAGGTACACACATATATGTACATACATTAACATATAATATAGGAAAACGGCCAATTTTATATATGTACATATATGTGCTATTTCATATATGCACATATATGTACATATATGTGCTATTTCATATATGCACATATATGTACATATATGTGCTATTTCATATATGCACATATATGTACATATAATATAGGAAAACGGCCAATTTTATATATGTCACATATATTTAAAACCTATATCAAAACCTATATTAAAACATATATGTTTATATAGGTTCTTTCCATGTGGGTTAAAATACCGCAAGATGTCACTCTGTTCAGCATACTTCTGTTTTTTATGCAAATGCAATCGGTCACGCTTTTTATTCTTTTCCCACAATTGGGCATCTACTTCATCACAGCAAGAAGGATCAAAGCTGCCCTCTTTAGGCCAGCGATTCTTTCCAGATGTTATCTTGTGCCATTCTGTCATGCATTTTTGAATTTTGCGTCTATTGGACGGATGTGTCATTATAACCAATTTGGCAGGCGTCAATTCTGCAGACTGTTTGCTCCCATTGGCTCCCATGGCAATCAGTGATCACCCAACCTTTACGGTATATGCTTATTTACCAACCTTTATAATTTTTATTTTAATTTTACTTCAGCCGGCTCTGCTCTTTCCAATTCAGATTGTGTTTTATCTTTTATTATTTTCTTATTGTCCAATTGTTCTTCTTTTCAGAATTTCCCAATTCGAATTTAGAGTTTTTTATAATTAATAGTATTTTCGTACCTAAGAATAGTAACTCTATAATTTATATAATATGACTTATAATACCAATATTTATTATATAACTTTATATCCAATTTTACAATCTTTGTTTTGGGACCTTGTTAATTTCTTTTTATTCTTTTAACTATGTATTTTTCAGTTGCCAATTCTGTTTTCCAATCTTAATTAATTTTCAGGTTATTCTTCTTAACTATATTTTGCAATAATTATTTCTATTTATTATTATCATATATTTAAGCTTTATCAATATTATAATTTTTATTTGTTAATATCATCCACCCCCTACTTCCCCTTAGTCACTTAACTCTTTCACTCTTCACACAGACAAAGACACGAAACAAATGATTATATGTTTTACCGTGCACTTCTACTCTTCCTCACCGTTTCCCACAGTGGCATATAATTGTTTCCCTGCTGCCCCGGCTGCACCCAGATAACTGGAAATGCATAGACGTCTTCCGGATGGTCGAGCGGTACTATTCTCCGATTTATCGCTTAATCGGTAATACTCTGGCTATCCCTTAGCCTGGCTATCGCTTAGCCCCATAATACCTTAATACACAACACAAGCTATTTCATGGAGCATGCCAACTATCATAGTCACCAATACCCTCACGTAACAGACGTACTATAATGTTCCGGATCTGTGGCTTCCACAGACTATTGTCAAAAACGCTTTGACCAATCTGTCCCTTCACCACTTGTCCGCTCAGAACAACATCTGTTAAGCTTGACTTATTCACAAAGTTATTCCAGCACTCAACAGTTCAAATACAGATTAATATAAACATCAATTAATACTTAAACCATGCATTCACATATACTCATACATACCTGGACCTTTCCTCCGCTCAATCTGCCGTTATTTGTTCTCACATAAATTCTTATCAAATTTCGAAATTACTTTATTAAATTTGGTAAACTAGGTTCTTTTAGAAGAGCTTTGTGACGCCTGACCCCCACAAGCAGTCGCTGGAGGCTGGTTCCCCACTAATTTAGAAAATTATAACGAATTGACTCACCTTCAATGGTGAATTATGGGCCCTTGGGGTTCCACGCCTTCCAGGTGGTGCCTGCAGATCGTCCGACATCCCCTTTTTGCTCTTCTCCGCCGCTGGCTTGCCAATTCTGTCATGGATGTTCTCTTCCCAACGACTTAAAACTTAAAGCTAAGTTTAATAAAATTCAAAGTTCTCAAAAAGCAGAAAAGTCTTCAACCAAAAATCTAAAAAACAGGCAGTAGTCGCGGTTTTCCAGGTCCAGAGTGTTTTATTGAAAAACACAGAGCATACACACTGAGCTGATCTCCGGAGAACAACTGATAATACAATGAAACAGCTTCCGTTTTATACATTTCAGGCTGTTGGGGGCTCCTCCCCCAAGCTCCTCCTTTCTTTTCACCATTTTAGATGCATTTTCTTCAGTTAAGTCTAATTAATTTTATCCTACCGGAGGAAAGTCCTCTTCAAAACATATTTTTTATATATTTACTCAACAAACCCTTTATTACAGATTATGGTTACATTTCTTATAGGTTATGATAACATATACTGCCATTAAATCAAAAACACATCATATTCCAGTCATTATTATTTCAGAGCAAAGTTTTCATTCAATGATCATTGCAGAGCAAAGCTTTCATTCAGTGATTCATGATTATAACACTTCACATTAACTTGGTTGGCATAATCTTGGCACTTAAACCTCCTGTGTCTCTATTCTTCCAAGCATATGTCTCATGCATAGGCCTTATTTGGACTCGGCTGTCTGTTTGCTGGACATCTGTGCTCCCTTAACTTAGCCTCAGTGCAGAAGCCACTTTTAGCATAACGTGCTAGACTCACTGTCTTGGTCTGATCTAAACTTGCACTTCGAGCAGCATGCCAGACCCTCTGTCTCTTTTCTGCAACATACCAAACTTTTTTAGACCTTTGAAGCAAGACTTTATTTAATGTGAAAGACATGTATATATTTTAATCATTGGTGCACATTAATTCCCTACAACCTCCAATAATCCCATCGACTGGAGCCAATATCTAACCTGGATCGAATATGCACACAACTCCCTCAAATCTGCTTCCACCGGACAATCCCCCTTTCAGGTCAGTCTCGGTTACCAACCTCTACTTTTTCCCGCAGACGAGAGAGAGATTTCGGTCCAGTCAGTCAACCATCACATCAGACGCTGTCAGAGAATTTGGAGAGAAACCATCACAACCCTCAACCGATCATCAGAGACAACCAAACGCTTCGCGGATTCCAGGAGACGTCCCGCCCCCGAGTACTCAGAAGGCCAAGAGGTATGGCTGTCCACTCGAGACATTCCCCTCAAGGGAATGTCTCGAAAACTGTCACCCAAGTTCATAGGTCCATACAAGATTTCCCAGGTCATCAATCCATCTGCCGTCCGTCTTCAACTGCCTCAGTCTCTCCGCATCCATCCAACCTTCCATGTCTCCCAAGTGAAGCCTGTCATCTCGAGTTCTCTGTGCCCACCTTCCGACTCCCCGCCACCCGCCCTGGAAGTTGACGGTCATCCCGCCTTCACTGTCCGTCGCATCGTGGACTCCCGTCGACGAGGTCGCGGCTGGCAGTAACCTCGTCGACTGGGAGGGCTACGGACCGGAGGATCGCCAGTGGGTTCCCGGCTCGTACATTCTCGATCCTGCCTTGATCGAGGAGTACGAGCGTTCCTGCCCTTCGACCTCTTCCGGACCGCCAAGGGGCGGTCGTTGAGGGGGGAGTACTGTTGGGAGCTGGAGAAATTCCACTTTTCTCCAGCAGAGTCCACCGTGGATCCTCCTGAGTGAGCCTTCTGCACAGCTGCAGCCCATCAGATCATCAGAGGATCCACTACTTAAGCTGTCTTCAGACCTTGCCTCAACGCCGCAGTGTTGATCCAGTTGGTCAGCGCCTAAGCCTAGACTCTCAGTGAATCTTTGTTGACTCTTGAATCCAGCCTGGATTCTAACCCTTGTCTCTATCTTCCAGGAAACCAGTTTATCCCCTGTGGAGCTCAGGAAGAGCTAACCTGCCGAGCCTACCCTCAAAGCCAAACCTGAAGAACCACAGTGAACTTCCATGCAGCTCCGGACTAAGAGCTGGAAAACTCAAAACCGAGGTCTGCTCTGTAATAGAAGTAAGACGCTGAAGCAGCTTGCGGACTCTGCTGATCAACTCCTCTCCAGATCCAACAGTAGCCCTCTCAAAGCTATCTACAAGAACCCTCAAGGTACAATCAGTTACAATCAAGGAATCAAACTCCAAGGTGCAACGCTAACTGAACTGTCTCTCACGCAGACTCCGGTGAACCAGTTTCCAGGCCCGAACCAGAACCAGTCATATCAGTGTGCTTGTGCAAAATAAACTTGTTAAACTTTTACTCCTGTGTCCGTCTAGTGGTGTTCTGCATATTTGGGTCACTCTCCGTGCACCCATCATGACACAATCAGGTGTTTTCTTCAATGTTTAGCAAGATTTCTACTCCTGTTGGTGAAATATTCTAGACCAATGTGCTCTAAGGTGTCTGGGAATGTTTGTTCACTGTTTATAAAAACACAATTTAAGAATCACTATTTCAATCCATCAAATATAATTTTGTATGTTTTTATGTATATTTTTTCTAGTTTCTTATTAGAATTGCTGTTGTGAATTTATCCTCTCTTTATCGGGAGTGTGTAACTTTCAAACACAACTGTATATATTTACCTTGTTAAATAGAATCTATTTTAGGATTGCCAGTCCAGAGAGGGAGCGGTGTCTAAGGGGAAGGAGAGGAGCAAGGTGGAAGGTCAGGTAAAGCAAGCTAAGTTTTGGTACAGCCCTTCTTAGAAGACAAAAACCTCAGATATGATGTGTTGGTAAATGATTGAGGCAGTTAATGGCAGAAGGCAAGTTTCACAAATATAGAAAATGTATGTAGAAAACAGTGAAATGTTCTACTTAAGGTTTTTTAATCCTATAAATGCGGTTCAACCAGCTGCCCTTCTCCCTTACCAAGATGGCGGCAGCGCTGACGCATCCGTCCGGAAGTTGTCGCCCTAAGGTCCCCCGGAAGTAGCGCTGAGCAGTTGTTAGCAGCTAGCTTGCTTTGTGGACCGTCCGGTCGGATCTCAGGCCAGTTTGGATCAGCAGCTGCAGGAATGGGTTCAGTTCTTCCTCTCAGAGACTTTATCAGGCAGAGACTGGATGCTGCTGCGGAGGAGATCTTCTCCGAGGTGGAGAAAACCATCATCCGCCTGGAGGAGGAGCTGGCCGCCCAGAGCAAGCTGCTAGCTGTGTGCCTGAAGCCGCAGGTCAGGCTGCAGAGGCTCGGTAGGTCTGATGTTCATCTGCATCTCTGGAGGTTCCTCTCACTTAGATCCACATTACTAGATGTTCCCACTGTAGAAACACACCAGACTAACCTCCCAATCAACGAGGGCTCAGATTCATGTGGGTTTAATGACTGTTATTATCAGCAGGGCCGGATGTGGGAGAATATGGGCCCCTGGGCTGCAGATGTGGAGCAGAAGGTTCCTCTGTAGCAAAGGTGTAGGGTGGGGGGGTTCTGAGGGTGGGGGCAGATGGACCTACAGTTACTTCACCTGAATGCTTTCATCAGGTTTTTGTATTTTCTAAAATTGAATTCTTTCCTGTTGTTGAGAACACAAGGAACCACAATACACTGATATTTATGTTTAAAGATGTTAGAGAGATGCTTTTAGTGCATTATGTATGTAATGGGTTTTAGAAGATGTAGATTAAATTCTACTAAAATATGTTTTATAGTTATGTGTGATGAGTGGTGTTTGGCGCCCCCTACTGGTTGGCCTATAAATACTGGGAACGGCTGACAATTCCACAGAATGTGTTTGGCCCCCAGCTGTGGTGAGTGCTCCGGTCTGGCTATCTTCTTTGTAGAGTTGGGTATCCGAGGGATTGCTGCAAGGGCGTAGGTTTGATTTGAACTTTGGTAGGGACACTATTGGTCAGGTGTCATTGGTGCTTTGCCATATGCATGCCCTTTTTTTATGCACAATGTGAGCATCCGTACTGATGAGAGGAATTCATTGTTTAATGAGAAAAGCATAATTTTGCTACATTAGTAAAAATGTTATAAGCCCTATACTCACTAGATGCTGTTTATCAATGTTGAAGTATCACCGGCTCTGATGAATGTGGAATTAGGACTGTTTTCCACTTTGAAAATGGTTTATTTGAACGACTAAGACAGAAGGTAAATACAGTATTTTCTTTTGAAGATATAGAATTGTGCAGAGTTAAACCCCACTCTTATATTGTTACCTACTATGCTCTCTCCATATCAAGCAAAATAATACATTCATTAAAATACTAACTTTACTATAAAAGTTGAACATCTGGGCTGTAGTTACTCTTTGTTGCCCAATTCATGTATTTTATCTGGGGCTGAAAAAAAGAATCGTATTAATTGATTATTTCAATAATCGTCAACTAATTTAGTGAGTGATTCATCATTAACTGGAGAATAGAGACTCTATAACATAATATAAATGTAAAATGTGCCTTTCCCCGACAGAGAACCCCACTCAGATCAGTAATTATACCAAATTTGTTTTGTTTTTGTTTTTTTGCTTATAAAATAAATAAAAATGTTTTTGTCAATGTTCTTCATCCAAAACTCCTCAAGAAGAAATATTTTAGTTTTACCTGGTTTAATGTCATTAATAATCTTCTTTAAAGAACCTTTGGCTATCTAATTAATCGATTCATCGAAAAAACTAATGACAGACTAATCGACTTGCAAAATAATTGTTAGTTGCTGCCTTAATTTTATCGTAACATTGTAAATGCATTTCTTACTAAATACATGTGAAGTAGAGATAACAGCCAACCAAACAAACATGTTAATCAGGTAAACTATATTAAAATCCATGTGGCATCATTTGTGAGCTCCTAAAGAGATCACAGAATCCAATTACCGTACTTCTTCTGAAAAAAACAAAACAAAAAAACCTTCACCTGAAGCCCTGAAGGTTCGGACACTTCTCTCTCTACCTGTGCTGCAACATCACTGCTCATTGATTGAGTTCCCTAAATCCAGCAATATCAAATACAAATTGATATTTATATTGTATATAAATAAAAAAGTTGCTCCTGATTTTGTAATTAAAATCATTTAGACGTCAGCTGAAGCACTGAAGCGCCAGCTGCTTCACCTACAAGCTGCCCTGCATTATTATTACTGAATATCTGTGTTTCCTAAAACCATATAATGTATAAAAGTAAGTTTTTAATATAAAAGGATTAAATGAAACAATCTTTTATATCATCCTATTTTACTTACTGACTGTTAAAATAGCTCCTTATATCTATTTTCTTATCTACAAAGCACAAAACTAAGAATGTGCCTAAATTAATTCAAATATAAAATCCCGTTTAAGTATTACGTATAAAAGACAATATAACTCTATCTTATCTGTAATGTAATAATATCCAAAATAAAGAGCCAGAATCAAGCATTATTTACCAGACATTAATGTTGTACTAATTTACTTATAGACTGGGAGGAAATCTATGTAAGATAAAGTCAATGTTAATAGTGTTCCTCTGTTTGTTCTTGTCTTTATCCTATTTCTAGGAGTATAAATAGTCAATAAAATAGAACTATTATGTGGAACCCTAATTATGCTTCTTAAACAAAAAATAGCAGATGTTTAGGCGCCATCTCTTGTTGTTATACTTTATAAAAGAAATAACACCTGCTAATAATAATTATACCTGAACTTCAAAGAGTCATAAAAAAATGAAAACAGTAATAGCAACTAAATATCGGTAAAAAGGAATCCCTCACATTTTCTTTTTTAGTTGGCTGTGGCTAAGAATCAGAAATGTTGATGGCTTACAGTCTTTATTTGCCCATTTTTCCAGCAGTCTTCAGAACTCCTGGCTGACTCAGAATATTTAGTTTTATAAAAAAAAAAATAAAGGTTGCTTTTTTATATTCAGTATTCAGATATTCAGTTTTTTTAATTGGGACTAGTTTCGTAGCCTAATATTAATTGTAGTAACCGCGGTATTCTAGTGTGAATACATTTTCAAATTTGTGCTCCAAGCACACGCGGACTAGAAAACAATCAGAAAGAGAGAAGGCGGAACTTAAGGCAGAACAACCAATGAGAGTGGAGTTATACAGCGCAGCACAGTGAGGTGCGCTGCTAAAGGGACAGGAGAAACAGGCAGGCGCTAGGAAGGAGCTGCAGCTGCAGCTACCAGGCAGGCAGCTGCGAGAGGAAAAGAAGCAATTTCTGCAGCAAAAAATATTTATAATTTTAAATTATAAACATGTTGCTCACATCAAATTATTGGTAGGGACAATTGGGTCGGTTCCAAATTTTGGTTAGGGACATGTCCCTATGATCCCTATGCAAACCTACGCCCATGGACTGCTGGACTTTTTATTGCATTCCAGCTGTTGGTGAACCAGAGGGGAGGCTAACCAGAGGATTTGTTTTTCTCTACCATTCATTACAGTAAATCTTTTTTTTTTTAAACCCAACTGTCTGGCATCTGATCTGTGCATGACAGGATGGCTAAGAGAGGAGCTGTGACGTATATATACAGCCCAAAAACATTGATGTATAAAAAAATAACCAATAACAGCCGATTCTGATGCCACAATCAATAAATCATGCATCACTAGTAAAACAATTTAAATTCCATCCATCCAGAAAAATATGGATATGCTAGATTTTAATTATAGAATAGCGTATTTTTTTCTTGAACATGGATATATATTTTATTGCATGTTGCATATCCCAGTCAATCTGTTTCTCCTTTAAATCTGCAGCTCTCCCTGTTTCTCTCCGTTTAAAAAGATTTATGATCCTCTTTACTAATATAATGATGCTAGAAACTACATTTCTAGATCTGTAGAAGCTCTGCAGTCTGATTCTCTGTTCAATAAGAAAACATGTTAACCTGGAACTGGGAGTCATGGTCCTCCAGTGTTTCCCACAGGATTTCAGGAGACAGTGGTGGGAGAGTCTCTGACCCTCGGGGGTTTTCATGTGTGCACATTTTTAAGCGTGGTGTATCCCACCTAAAGGGGAATGCCGTTTTTTTACATTGGGCTTTGTGTCATTTGGAGCCGTTCTGAAGATATTCCGTTAGGTTCTATCCAAGTAACGTCTTCCTATGAGCAACGACTTGAAGGCACAAACTAAACTGTTCATCATTTATTCTTTATGGTACGCCAGCATTCAGAACATGGAGACGAATCACTGTCCCCCAGACGTGGTTATATTTTTTATATGTCCTCTGAGAAGCCCAGATTTTTTAACTAGAAAAGAAAATATAATACTAACTTGTATAAACTTATAATCTGTTGCCATTTTTAGCTGAAAAAGCTCCTTATATCTAACCAACAGATTTTTCGGTGGCATCTCTAATTATTTTAACCAACTTGTCTCCTAACTTTAACTTAAACATCAAACTAGCTGCAGGTTAATAATCACTGAGTGCTGCTGTGTCTCTCCTCCAACCATGTAGCTACTCTCTAGGCAGTGAAATGCGACCACAAATCAGATGACTCAAAGTGACAGATCTGATGATGTCACACCGAGAGGCGGGACACGGGAGCAGCAGGAAGAGAGGAAAAAAAACACGGACACTGATAGCTGCACCCAACGTCTGTTACCTTAGGAAATGAGCGGGAAAAGGAAAAAAAACTGAAATTATTGGTGTGGACATGTCCCCACCAACTCTGGCCTAGTGTGGACATGTCCCCACCAACTCTGGCCTGGTCTGGACATGTCCCCACCAACTCTGGCCTGGTGTGGACATGTCCCCACCAACTCTAGCCTAGAGTGGACATGTCCCCGCCAACTCTGGCCTGGTGTGGACATGTCCCCGCCAACTCTGGCCTGGTGTGGACATGTCCCCGCCAACTCTGGCCTGGTGTGGACATGTCCCCGCCAACTCTGGCCTGGTGTGGACATGTCCCCGTCAACTCTGGCCTGGTGTGGACATGTCCCCGCCAACTCTAGCCTGGTGTGGACATGTCCCCACCAACTCTGGCCTAGTGTGGACATGTCCCCGCCAACTCTGGCCTGGTGTGGACATGTCCCCGCCAACTCTGGCCTGGTGTGGACATGTCCCCGCCAACTCTGGCCTGGTGTGGACATGTCCCCGCCAACTCTGGCCTGGTGTGGACATGTCCCCACCAACTCTAGCCTAGTGTGGACATGTCCCCACCAACTCTGGCTTAGTGTGGACATGTCCCCGCCAACTCTGGCCTGGTGTGGACATGTCCCCGTCAACTCTGGCCTGGTGTGGACATGTCCCCGCCAACTCTGGCCTGGTGTGGACATGTCCCCGCCAACTCTGGCCTGGTGTGGACATGTCCCCGCCAACTCTGGCCTGGTGTGGACATGTCCCCACCAACTCTGGCCTGGTGTGGACATGTCCCCGTCAACTCTGGCCTGGTGTGGACATGTCCCCGCCAACTCTGGCCTGGTGTGGACATGTCCCCGCCAACTCTGGCCTGGTGTGGACATGTCCCCACCAACTCTGGCCTGGTGTGGACATGTCCCCACCAACTCTGGCCTGGTGTGGACATGTCCCCACCAACTCTGGCCTGGTGTGGACTCGTTCACAGTAGCTGAAACAGGAGCTTTACCGATCTCTTCCTGTTTGTACCTCACACTGACCTTGTAGCGTTAGCTTAGCATGTAGCATCTCTCAGGGTTTCGTTTCATCTTGTCCGACTGCTTCATAGAAAAGGCTCCATCGAACAGCTGGCGCTGAAGATAGATTCTGATTTCCTAGATCTATTTATTCATGAAGGCCTGATTGAATCTGATTCAGGATTTGATTTGATTGGTTTATGATTTAGTCCAGAATATCAAGCTGTTCCAGTTTTCCTTGGATGTAGAAAATGTAAATTTTAGTTAATTTTTTTATTTAAGATGAGAAAACACAGAATTGATACTTTGAATAAAGTCAAACCAGAGAGCATGCTGGGTAAATAAAATGGCTACAAACACCCTGCTCAGTGAAGACATTCACTTTGGTTCCTTTGTCTCACAAATGTTAAAATAAAGGATCTTTTGAGGGGTTTTATGAATCACTGTCGGGTCAATTAAAGGAAAATCCATTAAAATCAATTTATTTATTCTTTCGTCTTTTTTTTCTGGCTTTACTGGACGTGTGGAGACTACACGATCCAGCATTATTATGGGATGGCTGTGAATGGAAATGGGTCCAATTCTTATAGTTGAATACGTCATTGTTTCCTCTTAAGCCCACGCTGCTCCCCAGGCGCCGCACAGTGGCAGTCTACTGCTCCCCAAGGGGATGGGTTAAGATGCAGAAGTGAATTTCTCCATTGGGAGATTAATAAAGTTCAATTAATAGTTATTATTTTCGAGTCGATCATTCGGACCGTCTCCAGTCCTTTCGTTTCATCCTGTCTTCTCCATTTTCTCCAGCTTAAAATCCTGTTTCCTGTTTCTTCGCTTAATCTTATTTTCCAGCAGCAACAGTTTTATTTTCTGTGTTTAAATGTTTTTGATGATCTCCAGATGTGATTGTTATTATTTTAGGTTTTCCTGGTTAGAAATCAGAATCGGCTTCAATGTAAAGCCTCTTTCCCAATGAAAATATGTTTTTTAAACATGTGTCGACTCGCTAACAATCGGCATCTGGCTCCCTTCCCATTGGCAATAAAAGCTGATCTAACCCCTTGCTGGCAGCTCCGTGGCCTCTGACCCCCTACAGCTGCATGTGTGGTGACACCAACACGTGGGTTAGCATTGATGATGTCACCAGTGTGACAGAAACCAGGAAAGTAAACATTGGAGAGCAACATGGAAGGAAGCCACGGCGTAGTCAGTGTTATTTATTGTTTCGCTCTATTATCTGTCTGAATACTCCTCACCAGAGCTGCTCCATGTTTATTAGGGATGTAACGATATCAAAATCTCACGGTACGATACAATTTCAATATTGACCTCACGGTACGATATTTATTGCGATATTGTGGAGAAGCTCACGGTACTGTTAAATAACTCACGATAGTGTTTGTGACGATAATAGCAAAAAAATACAGACATTTTTTCTGCTTTTGCCAGTCAACAGGCAATTTATTGTTGTATTTATGGATCATGACAACATAAAACACTGATCACATAGTGCTTTTAAAGTGCAAGTTGTAGTCAGGAACATCAATATTCTGTTCATTCTTTTGTGCAATGTTCAAGTTAAGAAGCAACCAGAACAATTGTAAACAATAGGGAATTCCCTTTAAGTGCTTGCATATAGTCCATTGTCTGTCCACCACCTTCTCTCCTTTTGCGTTTTTTGACACGGCGAAAAAAAAAAGTTTCCAGACATCTGACTTAAAAGCTGCAGGGGCGGGCACAATCTCAACTTCGGGGTTGTTTTCATCCTTACAAGTATCGCTGTCGGCCATGCTAGCTTGCTGCGAGCTTGTGTGGACAGCGTGCAATCTGCGTGCAATCCTATTGGCTTAAGGTTGGTATGACGATGCAGCGCAAAGGATCATGGTCTATGCAGTTAAGGATTTTTTTCCGCGGGACTGTGTTTATTCCTCTTGCTTTTTGACGGACACCTGCCCTTTTATTATTGTAACCCAACCACGACGATATTGAGACACGTTTACCACCGCGATAGCAGATAATGTCAATATCGTTACATCCCTAATGTTTATCGGATGGAAACAGAGTGTTTCTGCTTGTTAGATCAGACCGACTGGCCAGTGGGAAAGGGGTATGAGATGGAAGTTTCATCCACATCTTCATTTGTCAGGTTCATCACTGTCTTCCTCAGAGTCCAGCTAGGTGCCTCCCGCCTCATCCTCATTCAGCTCCATGTTTATCAAATGGAAACAGAGTTGTTTCTGCTTGTTAGATCAGACCGACTGGCGTGGTGTGTTGGCATCTGTAAGTTGCATACAATGGTGTCAAGTAATTAAGCGGGTAACCCTGGCTCTGGTGTTCCCACAATTCCGATCAGAGCCGAGACGATTTCAATCCCTGTCGCTTGCCGAGTCGTTTGACCCGGATAGACAAGCAATCGTGAGCTGTTCCCACTGCCACTAAATGCCGATTGTTCCCGGTTTTAAACAGGTTTTTTCAGCCAGTGGGAAAGGGGTATTGGAATCCTTCCCCTCAAAATAAAACACAGATTTTAATTGGGGTCCACAGTAGAAGAAGAAATGCCTTCATCGTCCCACAGTGGGGAAACTGATTGGACTGAGAAACAAACAAGCAGACAATCGATGATACACTGAAGGACGTAGAAAGAACAAAGCGGTGAAAGAAATTAGGCCTTATTATTGATAACAGAATATTCAGGTTTAAAATGTCCTGACGGCCTTGAAACGAGTCCATGGAGGGTTCCTGAGCTGCTCGCCCTCAGACTATCAAAACTCTACATCTAGAGTTTTGAATTCTAGAGTTCTGAACTCTACATCTAGAGTTCTGCTCTTCTCTGTATAATGCCACATAAAGGCAATGTTCGAATTCCTGGGCTGCATCCTCCAAGGACGCGATCTACCTGGACTGGATCCTTCAAAGTCCGTGAAAAAAAGGAGACCGGAAGAGTTTGGGCTGTGAATCCGAACAGGTCTACCCTTCGTGAAAGTTGACGCACAAAGCAGGAAAAGAATGAAAACCGAAGTTTTAAAAACTGTTTTTATTGAGTGGAATAAAGGTTCCAACCACCGGGAGCAGGAACAAATAAAATCAAATGTAATGATAAAAACCTTAGTCAGTTAAATAATAAATAATATGCTGCTGTCATTTGGCACATCTCTTTTCAAATATCCATTATTGTAAAAATTTCCATAGCTTGGATATTGGTTATTTATTCTCCAGTTTTATATTGTTAAAACACTTTACAGGATTTCCTACTATGTTATTCTTAGACATTTTTCTAAGGTCCACATTTGTGTGACCATTTTCAATAATCTTTCTACTGCTGTAAATTTGCCCATTGTGGAACAATAAAGGGATTTTCTATTCTATTAAAAGGGGTAGAAATATATAAGTAAATCTAAACAATGTATGTATAAAGAATATATCTGCAAAATTTCTAATATTCCACAAAAAATGTCTTAGTTAAGCAAATTGTGCAAAACGGCAATAAAAGAAATTAAACTCCTATCAGATTTATAGTCCCCACCCTGCAGATATATTAGAATCTGTCCTTAAATTCCAGCCAAACCCATTTACACAGTAACAGATAAAAACCTTTAGATAAATCAAACATTACCGCCACATATCTGACTCTATAACCATTAAAACAACTATTTTCATTAATCTCAGACGGAACTATTCACTGACTGGATTATATTAAACTGAACTTCCGATATTCACCACTGATCACGGAGCAGCCGGCATGCTTGGTCTCGCAATGAATCCTGGGATATCCAAGGATATCGAGGATACATCGGACCCGTCCTTCAAATCGGGCAAAAAGAAGGACGCATTTTAAGGTCGCATAACGAGGACTCTTGGAATCCGAACAGACCTCCGCGCGGGGCGCTATGACGTAATCGTCCTTCGAATCTGGCCTTCGGAGGACGCGTCCTAGGAATTCGAACAGAGCAAAAGTTGGGGCTTTAGGCGGTTCGGGTCGCAGAAACTAGAGGTCCGGTGCCACTCAGCAAACCCCCGTTACTGCCACTCTATGGCGGGAGGTGTTACTGGCAGGTTCTGATACTGTTTTGTTGGTGGAACTGGACTCAGTCTGTTTGGACTGAACTCATCATTGTTCTGTATGAACCCATCAGTCAGAACCAGATTCAGTTATCAGAACACAGACTAATCCTGGTGTTGCATTGTTGGTGGTTCTGAAGTTCAGAATATCTTTTGGATCGCCATGATCACGATGATATTCTCTGTCTCCTCAGGACTTCCTCCCAGACGGGTTTATAAGGAAGAGGTTCTGACCGACTACGGGAGTCTCTGTGTTCAGGACAAGGTGGAACCAGAACCTCCACGCATTAAAGAGGAGGAAGTGGAGCTGTATCCCCCTGACTTCACACAGAACCTCACAGAACCAGAACCTCCACGCATCAAAGAGGAGGAAGTGGAGCTGTATCCCCCTGAGTTCACACAGAACCTCACAGAACCAGAACCTCCACGCATCAAAGAGGAGGAAGTGGAGCTGTATCCCCCTGAGTTCACACAGAACCTCACAGAACCAGAACCTCCACAGACCGAAGAGGCTCAGCAGCAGCCAGAACCTTTGCAGGGAGAAGAAGCTTTGGATGATCCAGAATCTCCTCCGAATGGAGATGAACGATGTGGACCAGAACCTCTGCAAATGGACCAGACCCTGGTGGAGCCAGACAGTCCGCAGATCATAGACGACCTGGAAGAGTTAGGAACTTTTGACATCGAAGAGGCCCTGTCAGAACCAGGATGTCCACAGATTATAGACGACTTGGGCGAGTTGGAGTACCTGGATACCAAGGAGGACCTGGAGGAACCAGAACCCCTGGAATCAGAAGATAATCAGGAATCAGAAGACCCAGAATCTCCCCAGAATAAATCCAGAAAATTGGAGTTCTGGACCCGACATGACGATGAGAGTCCACTGCTTAGGAAGGAGTTTGATACCTTTGTGCAGCGACATAGAGAGTCCAATAGCGCAGAACCATCGGGGAGTTCTGAAGACGACCCGGCAAACGTCCAAATACCAGGTACGAAACACTGCAATGGTCCGAATGACCCAACAGGTCTGGAACAGAGACTAGCCCACTGCCTTAATCTGAACCCATTTAATCCAGATTATTAAGGGCCTCACTGGGTCTGTTAAGTCCATATTTAGGTTCAGCTGTTGGTTCTTTTTTAGTTTGGACCGGCAAAATTATTTTGGGTTCTGAATCTCTAGAGCACAATTGTCAAAATGGTTCCAGAAAGGGCCGTGTGGCTGCAAGTTTTCTTTCCAACCAAACAATAGCACATCAGACTCCATTCATATCAAGTCATCATGTTCAGATTGGACCCCCTTGATGATCCGATCTGACAGGAAATCTTATTGGACAAAGTAGTGGCGTTTATCTCTCATTGAGAGTCAGTGGAGATGATCGCACTCGACACGATTCTCTGCAGAGGGCTGCGTAGCTCTGACTAAGGTAGACCCCAGGTCTGTTTCAGTCGGACTATGCAGCAATTCACCAGCAATTTCATGGGTCTGACAAGACGAGAGACAAAATAAAAGCCCCATTTAAAAGTTACCTTTGACCATTTACACACCACACTAGCATGATTCCTCGCCTCCTAGTGGCAATCTATGGTACTACTTCTCTCTAGAGGTAAAAAAGCAAACCAACATGGTGGCGCCTGCAGCATTTAGGAAGATTGCGGAGAGTCAGGCGAAGAAGGCAGCCTTTGGTGAATTACTTGACAGTCGTCTTCTAGGAAGTGGATACGACAAACGATAGTCTACTCAGGGCTTACAGACGCAAGAAACAACAACAGACGGTCGAGGTTCATCACACTGCGAACCAGAATCATCACTGGTAATTGTGTGGCACAGTAGGGAAGCTAGGATTTTTAAGAATCTATGAAGTTTCCTGATTAAGAAGGCTGACTGTAAGGAGATGACGCGATCTGCTCATGCGCTCTTTATCTGTGAACCGAGCCAGAACTGAACCAAGCTGAGCCCTACTGATGAAGTAGTACCATGTTAGTACGGTTCGGTTGTGTCTGCCACAGTCCGGTTCAGTTCTGCGTACCATTTACACTCAACAGTTATCTTGGTTACCGTGCTCGGACCAATCTCAGCACGGTTTCAAAAGGGTAGAGTAAATGGGGCTAAAATGTGTCAATCTCAGGGAAACCTGTCAGGATTGGAGTCGTACAGCGAATATAAAGCAGGTGGGGCAGACTGGCACAAAAATCAAAAACATTTAAAAAAGAATACCGTGGTAGGAGTTCAGGGGGACTGAAAACAGAAAAAGTAGTGATCCAGTTTGAACCTCTCAAAAACAAACATCGAGGGGAAGAAAGAGCAGTTTATCACTCTATCTGAGAGAAACAAAGGGAAGTAAGTGCAGCTCATCACTCTATCCTCTTTATGAAAAAAGAAAAAAAACTTGAACAAACTTCACAGATCTCTCTCTCTGAGAATCGCCTCTCTGCCTCATCCAGCATACAAACCGCCCCACAGCCTTTATTGCTGCGTTTTCCTTTTCTTTTTATGTAGTTCCTGTGGTGTATTTAATATAGGCACAGAGTCATGAAGTAGGGGAAGCGGCGTTTTGTTTTTTATAATCCTTCCCAGTCAAATGTGGGACAGTTTTTCAGTTCTTTGGGCACAGAGACCGAAGTAAACAAAAAACTCCTCATATCTAGATCTGCTCAGTCTGCCTGGTCGAAGCCTCTCTATATACACTATATTGCCAAAAGTATTTGCTCACCCATCCAAATTATTGGAATCAGGTGTTCCAATCACTTCCATGGCCACAGGTGTATAAATTCAAGCACCTAGGCATGCAGACTGTTTTTACAAACATTTGTGAAAGAATGGGTCGCTCTCAGGAGCTCAGTGAATTCCAGCGTGGAACTGTGATAGGATGCCACCTGTGCAACAAATCCAGTCGTGAAATTTCCTCGCTCCTAAATATTCCACAGTCAACTGTCAGCTGTATTATAAGAAAATGGAAGTGTTTGGGAACGACAGCAACTCAGCCACGAAGTGGTAGGCCACGTAAACTGACGGAGCGGGGTCAGCGGATGCTGACGCGCATAGTGCGAAGAGGTCGCCAACTTTCTGCAGAGTCAATCACTACAGACCTCCAAACTTCATGTGGCCTTCAGATTAGCTCAAGAACAGTGCGCAGAGAGCTTCATGGAATGGGTTTCCATGGTCGAGCAGCTGCATCCAAGCCATACATCACCAAGTGCAATGCAAAGCGTCGGATGCGGTGGTGTAAAGCACGCCGCCACTGGACTCTAGAGCAGTGGAGACGCGTTCTCTGGAGTGACGAATCGCGCTTCTCCATCTGGCAATCTGATGGACGGGTCTGGGTTTGGCGGTTGCCAGGAGAACGGTACTTGTCTGACTGCATTGTGCCAAGTGTAAAGTTTGGTGGAGGGGGGATTATGGTGTGGGGTTGTTTTTCAGGAGCTGGGCTTGGCCCCTTAGTTCCAGTGAAAGGAACTCTGAATGCTTCAGCATACCAAGACATTTTGGACAATTCCATGCTCCCAACTTTGTGGGAACAGTTTGGAGCTGGCCCCTTCCTCTTCCAACATGACTGTGCACCAGTGCACAAAGCAAGGTCCATAAAGACATGGATGACAGAGTCTGGTGTGGATGAACTTGACTGGCCTGCACAGAGTCCTGACCTCAACCCGATAGAACACCTTTGGGATGAATTAGAGCGGAGACTGAGAGCCAGGCCTTCTCGTCCAACATCAGTGTGCGACCTCACAAATGCGCTTCTGGAAGAATGGTCAAAAATTCCCATAAACACACTCCTAAACCTTGTGGACAGCCTTCCCAGAAGAGTTGAAGCTGTTCTAGCTGCAAAGGGTGGACCGACGTCATATTGAACCCTATGGATTAGGAACGGGATGTCACTTAAGCTCATATGTGAGTCAAGGCAGGTGAGCAAATACTTTTGGCAATATAGTGTACTTTCAGTGTGAATAAATGGGATTGGAGATTAAAAAGTCGTCACAATCGATGTGAGCCGGGCTTTAGCTTGTTGGTCAAACCATCAACTTTTTAGTTTGTTATTCTCACTTTAATTCCTATTCATCCATAATTATCATGATTGTTTAATAGGACATTTAATTAATTTAATTGTTAGTTTTTCAACACTATTTTATTCCCACTGAATAACAAACATTTAAACAAACTGTTGATGAGAGCAGAAGTGGGTGTAGTGGAAGGGCGGGGCCTATCGTCAGTGCCAAACACGATACACTACACCAGACATGCTCCATGCTTTCCAGCATCCTTCTTTTTGGTTTTGTATTGAAAGTGTTGTGTGAAAAAAAGTTTTCAACTGTTTAGTCCAGTTAAATGAAGGAGATCGATGGATTTACTCAGTCGGCACTTTATTAACTTTGCAAAGTAAAGGAGAACAATACATTCACATTTACAGCATGATGGTCTGCCAAGTTCTAACCTTAGACAAAGTTGTTCCCTTACTTTTAAGGCAGAGTCAAAACAATAACAGACACTTTGGTTAAACGGTTACCTAAAAAAGTATGTGGTTTTGTTAAGGAAAAAAGGTATGTCTTGTCTATAATCATCTTCCACTCAGACATTTTGTGGCCTTCCAAGTGAGACAAACTAGCTAAGAAAAAAACATTTTTAGAGAGTACATAGCATACATCAATATACTGAGAAGGAAAGAACAAAAAAAAATTTCCGACAACAAAAGGAAAATCTGAAGTTTTTGCATTTTTTTTTCTATGTATTCCAATTAATCATAGAATAAGTTTAGGTAAATAGGTGAATATTCTTTAGAGTATTACTGTTTTTAAGCAGTTTCTCAATAAATCATAAAAATTAAAGATAAAATCACTGATCACTAAAATCATTGTTTGCTATAGCCATAATTACAAACTACATTTTATAATAATAGTGATAATAAATAGATATTTTACAATGGTTCTTGGCAGGTCTAAGTCAGGGGCTGAGGTTTAACTAAGGGAAAGGGAAACAACATGATCTTACTTTAAACCTCAGCACATATGTTAAAACAAAGCATGTGGTTGTTTTACAATTGAATTGTTCCAAGAACACATGTTTAGAAGAAACATATGATAGAGGATGTTCAGGCCTCCTAAACAACCTGTCCGTTGCATGACCTGTATCTGGAACGATCTTTAGCAAGAGTTAATAAACGATGAATCACACATTATACATCATAATAGTTCATTAATACACAACCCATGAAACACAAACCGAGTATAAATAAAATATTTCTAACAGTTCTGTTCATATAAATTAATAGCCACTGCACAAAAACAGATGCAGAAATATTGAGAGTGACCAGACCGGAGCTCCTCCTAGTCGACCCGTTAGTGGAGTCTCAGTTGGTTCTGCACTGTCAATTTTTTTATGGTTTAGCTCCGTGGACTAACTTACTTTTTTCTGATTTTTTTTTTCTTAACAGACCAGAACCGTGTTTATCAGGAAGACGTTCCAACTGAGCCCGAAAGGTTCCTCAGTGTGGATTCAAAGAAACCAGGGTTTCTGCAGATTAAAGAGGAGCAGGAAGAAGTGAGCTCCCAGCAGTCCGAAGACTCGAATGAACCCAAACCCTTTGTTTGTAAGACCTGTGGCAAAAAGTTCTCCAACATGTTGCTGCTGCAAGACCACCGAGACACGCACCAGAACGAGAAGCCTTACTCCTGTGAGTTGTGTACGCGGCGCTTCACCCGGCAGTACACTGCCTTCCGCCATATGATTACGCACACCGGTGAAAAGCCCTTCTCCTGTAAGATCTGCGGGGAAAAGTTCGGCTTGAACAGTCACCTGGTGCGCCACCTGAAGCGCCACACGGGGGAGAAGCCCTTCTCCTGCCACATCTGCAACAAGACCTTCAGACAGAGCAACACCCTGACCTGTCACGTCAGAACTCACACAGGGGAAAAGCCCTACCCCTGCAGCATGTGTGGGAAGGGCTTCGTCACGAGGGCCGCTATGAACATCCACATGAGGGTTCACACAGGAGAGAAGCCGTTTACCTGCAAAGTGTGTCACAAAACCTTCAGTCGATGGAATGGGCTAAGCTTCCACATGAGGACACACACAGGGGAGAAGCCGTATTCCTGCAAACTGTGTGGGAAAACCTTCAGACAATCCAGCCACTTGCTGTGCCACAAGAAGCGCTGCCAGGAACATCAGACTCAAGAGGAGCAGGAAGAAGTGAGCTCCCAGCAGTCCAAAGACTCGAATGAACCCAAACCCTTTGTTTGTAAGACCTGTGGCAAAAAGTTCTCCAACATGTTGCTGCTGCAAGACCACCGAGACACGCACCAGAACGAGAAACCTTACTCCTGTGAGCTCTGTAAGCGGCGCTTCACTTCGCAGTACAATGCCTTCCGCCATATGATTACGCACACCGGTGAGAAGCCCTTCTCCTGTAAGATCTGCGGGGAAAAGTTCGGCTTGAACAGTAACCTGGTGCGACACATGAAGCGGCACACCGGTGAGAAGCCCTTCTCCTGCCACATCTGCAACAAGACCTTCAGACATAGCGACACCCTGACCTGTCACGTCAGAAATCACACAGGGGAAAAGCCCTACCCCTGCAGCGTGTGCGGGAAGGGCTTCGTCAATAGGAGCTGTATGAACATCCACATGAGGGTTCACACAGGAGAGAAGGCGTTTACCTGTAAGATCTGCGGGGTAAAGTTCGGCTTGAACAGTCACCTGGTGCGCCACCTGAGGCAGCACACGGGGGAGAAGCCTTTCTCCTGCCACATCTGCCACAAGCGCTTCAGCCGGAGCAACAACCTCACCTGTCACGTCAGAACTCACACAGGGGAAAAGCCCTACCCCTGCAGCGTGTGTGGGAAGGGCTTCGTCAGGAGGGCCGCTATGAACATCCACATGAGGGTTCACACAGGAGAGAAGCCGTTTAGCTGCAAAGTGTGTCACAAAACCTTCACTCAAGGGGGGGTGCTGAGCTACCACATGAGGACGCACACGGGGGAGAAGCCGTTTACCTGCAAAGTGTGTCAGAAAACCTTCAATCAACAGGGGGGGCTGAGCTACCACATGAGGACGCACACGGGGGAGAAGCCGTATTCCTGCAAACTGTGTGGGAAAACCTTCAGACAATCCAGCGACTTGCAGCGCCACAAGAAGCGCTGCCAAAGGGTCTGACCTGCAGAATGAAAACATCTGGTTTTCTGATCCTGTGCTGAATGAGTTAAAATAAACTGGACCTTAAAGCGGCTCTTCTGGGCCCATTGATACCAGGAGAACATCGGACACTGTTAACCTACTGCAGGTGGCCCTTCTATCGGTAGCAACAGCGTTAGCATATTTAACGATTGTCATGTCAAAAAATAAGCACAGGAGAAAAGAGGAGTGAACTTGTGTTGGGGGTTGGGCCTTCCTATGATTAAAACACCTGCACACCCATGTGTGGCAGTTTTGACAGACAGAGGAAGAGACTGGCTCCTGGCAAGCATGTTTAAGCTCATGGTTCAATCACCAGATACACAACTGGTAAGAAGAAAATAAAGTTAGCTATTATTATTATATTGTTTATTGAAAAAAAAAGAAAAGTTGAGGTTGAGTTAAAAGATATTGCAGTATGGCTCGTGGCCTGGTAATATTCAGTTTGTTTGTGCTTATGGGTGAGCCACAGTGGAAAATCTTTGTTTTGAACTAATTCAGTTTCTGTTGGTCAAATTGTTTGTTTTAAACTAATACACTTCTGTTTGTCAATTTGTTTGAAAGGTTTTCAACCTAAATCCCAATCCTAGATCTCAAATAAAAAGCAAAAATGGAAAAGGATTTGAGTTGTGCTTAGCGTCTTTCTTGGTGATGACCAGCCGTTTTCAGGTTTGGGGAGGAGCTGAAGCTAGAAACCCCCCATAACTTGACAACACCACCTCATGTATGCTAGCTGATGTTCAGAGGACAGCAACAAACAGTGGGACATATGGAAAGTCTGTTTATCGCATAGTGATGTAGGATCTACTTTGTTTTAGCCACTCAGGTGACGTCTACTCGTGATGAACATCCAACAAACTTTAACAATCGGTCTTCCAGTAAGAGATGACTTCATGTTCATTCATTTTCTGCTGGGTTTTTTAAGGCTCCAAATATCCAGTGCAGGGTCAAATGATTTGAATGCTTGGAGTGGGGTATATGTTTAAGAGACGCTTTAAGGTACTGTTAGCTGACATAAGCTAGCATTAGCTTTTAGGGGTTACCCTAGCTAGCTACATTATATACGGTCAAAAGTAAGCCAGTATCATCTGATCGTAGTCAGCAGCTGTAACTATTACTGAGAATTTGTAACTATCTAATAACATAAATCATTGCAGGGCTCAATGTTAACCATCGCCCGATCTCCCTGGGCAAATAGTTTTTATTGTTGGGAGAGTACAAATTTCATTGCATTTGCCCGCCGGGCAAGTGCAATGATCGCAAAAAAAGAATTATCACTCTAAATTACTTTAAAATCACCGACATTCTATGAAAACAACCCAGAAGTGTTGCCGGCACCATTTTTGTTGTTTTGTACACATTCTCGCGTGATTTGAAAAAGCCGGGGGATTTTCCGCCAAATGGCGGGATTTTTGTCCACCTAGCAGTAATTTTGATATAGTTACCAAAACAACAAACAAGCTAGAAATCGCTATCATATTGCAGTCTTCTGTACTGTGATGCAGGTCATACATTAAAAAATGTTCATTACATTTTTTCTTTTAGACATTGGAGAGGTGCATTTAAATGTTATAGAGCTAAACATGTTAAATTGGTGACCTGTTATGTTATTATTATTGTGTTGTTGCTGCATTTATTTTGTCAGGGAAAACTAATCCTGAGTCAGTTAAAAGTCAGGGAATTCTGAAATGATGTCAGACTGTGGAAACCCTGAATAAAATAACTATGTATAATGATTCTCTAGAAAAGTCACATTATATAAATAGTATTATCTTGAATAAACATACCGTGACTCTAAAATAAAAGTTATTCATTTGTGACATTGACTTCTGTCTTGTGATTTATCTTAAGTTTTTAACCTGTCAAGTTTTTTTTTAGATTTTTAACATTACAATTTATATTTTTCAAGCACACAACAGTTTAAAGCAAAGTTTAGTTTGAAAAGAATGTGCAGGAAGGATTGAAAAGCATGTTAACACGGTAATGTAGGCTTGAGTTCATTATCTGACACATGCATATACACACCAGGAACCTGGAAACTTAAAAAATACTGAATTACAAAAAACAGTCATTGATATATTTACAAAAATGAATATTAGGAACTATATTTATCAAACATTTTACTGGGCAAGTAAAAATTGTTTCTGGGCAAATGAAATGTGAAAGTCACTTGCCCGAACGGCAAGTGGTAAAAATCCTTAACGTCAACCCCTGAAGTGTAATACGTTACATCATTCTGTTATTTACATCTATTTTTGGTTTGTTCCGGTCTTAAATTGGATTGCTAGTTTAAAAGAAGTGTTGTAGCCGTTAGCTAATAAAGTAATGGTACACTGTAAAACCTGACAAGTTAACCTAACTCAAATGATTTGGGGAAACCGATTGCACCAATTGATTTAAGTTATGCAACTCAAATTGTTTTAGTGTTTTTAATCAATTAATTGGAGCCTAATGAACCCAACACAATTATAATAAGATAACTCAAATAAATGATGTTTATTCACTAATTTTATTTGGTATGAGTCGACTTAAACCATTTGATTTTCTTGTACCAAAATGCTGTATTTATTCATACTTGTTTTAAAAGTGTTATATATTCTTAGTAAATTTAAGTTAATTTGACTTTAATGGTTCTTTTCTAAATTACTTAAAATTGTATTAGATTTACTCAGTCCAATTGGGGAAACTGATTGCTCAAAACAATTTAAGTACTGTTAACACAACGACAAACTTAGATTTTTTTTCCCATTTTTTTTTTATTAACTTCAACTGCAGAAAATACAGAATCAATAAAAGTGTGGCTTCTGACAAATTATGGTCTTAAAATCTACTATCAAATAACCAAAAAGACATCAGAAAAACTGATTTTAAAGTGCAATTTAATGCTATTATTAAACTTCCAAAAGAAAAATACTAGGTGTATATCAATAAATTAGAATACTGTAGGGTGAAAATTCTAATATTTATGAGGGAAATTATTTTAGAAGTCAAATGGTATCAGCCATAACCATCCTGATCTTAAGATAATGATTAAATGATTACGTTTTCATCCATCCACAATAGTCTGATGTATTGATATACACCTATACACCAAAAATAAATACGTATGACTTTGGTAACAGTATTCACACATGCTGTCAGTATGCAACACATAAGTATGCCATTGTAAATTTGAAACAGTTTACAAAATCTGTTTAGTCTTTAAAGCCAAACCTCAAAAGGTAAACATAAGAAGTATCAATCTCACAATACAAAAATAATGATGGATGGTATAAATTTTGAACAAATTCAAATTATTCTTTTACTTTTCAACATACTGACATAAACCAGTAAATACAAACACAACAAAGGTTATCTAAAACCAAAATAATTAAATATTCTAATAAATAAAAAAACTCAAAATTACACACTATGAAAAAAGGGTATATTTGAGGCTTCTCAGTAGTTTGCCTTTAAATTTAATCAAAAGAAGGATGTCTAGTGTGAAATTTCCTTATTCTTAGCAAACTGAATGTTTCCTTTTTTTCTAATTTAGAACCCGTGTAAAAATAGAACTGTTGACAAAAAGCCCTTAAACGCTGATTCCTGAACAGGCATGAATGTAGCAACAACAAATCCAATCTACACCAGCTCATTTTTCAGTGTCTGCAATTTTGGTTTGAGTTGCTTTCTTTCATCATCTAGCTTCAGTAAAACTACTTGAATGAACTCAAAAAAGCTAGTACACTTCACAGGATAGCTGAGATGCAGAGCATAGATTAGCCCAAACAAACACACCAGTGCATCAGTCCATGAGTGATGAGTCATTACAACCTGATCTTCAAGCACAACGAACACTTGACGTGGTGAGAATGGAACTCCAGCAGGCACCTCATCTTCACCCACATCAGAAACCAGAGCAACTGCGCCTTCCCAGAACTCCATTTCATCCTGAATATGACATGAGTTCAAAATTATTTATTAGAATACATTAAACCTTTTCTAATTCCAGTGGACAAAATATGGTAATCAACATGAACAACATACTTTGCATGTTTTGAAAATGCTTGAAGAATCCTCCTTAAGGTAAATGGGTAGGCCCGCCAGGGCTGCCGCTCTTGTTGCGTTAATGTCGTTTTTGTCCTTAAAGGATTAAAAAAAAAGTTAAACATGGTAATGGAAGCCACCAAGCAAATATAGTAACAGTATCCAAGTACCTGTTCCTCATAGGCCAACAAAAGCTGGTCCATCTTTTCACCAATCCGTCCAGTTTTCTTCCTTTTATAAAGCCCAATTAGCTGAGGAGCATATTCATCCAGTGCAGCATAAAACGCATGTGGCAGATGCTGATTAGTAATCCGGTGAAATTCACAGTACAGCTAAGGAAAATAACCAAAAAGGATAAAATGAAAAAAAGAAACACATTCTTGACACACACTACATTTTATCAAGCTGTACTTACCTGTGTCTCATTAAAGAGAGCTGGCCATCTCTCCTTAAGCTCTGATTCAGGAGGAGAAGTTGTGATGATCTCTTCACGCCTGAGGGCAAAGGTGCTCATCATGTGCTGATGAATAAGGGGAATATTTCTTTCAGCAGATGTCTTCTGGAACTCTTTAACCATCTCAAGCCTCCTGGTTTCCAGAGACTCCCTTGTTTCTCCAGAAGGATAACTAGGAAGGAAGTTTACCTCCCCTCTCCTAGGTCTTTTAATATTGGCCCTTGGTGCAGCTCCTTCTGGGTTTGTTCGGCTGTGTTTTCCAGAATTTACAGCTACATCTTTGATGCCAGCTTTAGCCAACTTTTTTTCTTTGGTTTCCTATTTTGTGTCTCAGACTATTCTTCCACCCTTCCCACCCAGTGTCAGAATTCTTCTCCTTCAAACAGGGATGTTTTCTAACTAAAGCTTCCGCAGCCTTGCCAATTTGTGTGCTACTAGGATATGCCTTCAGCCTATAGATTTCTTCCCCCATTATCTCAAGGATGTTGTGTTTTTGATCTCTAGGGAGTCTGATTACTTTTCCTTCTTTTTCAAATGCTGCATTGCCTTCCCTTAGCACATGTTCCACCTCATAAGAAAATGTTGGAACAATAAAAACATCTGGCCAGCGACCACTGCGCTCTGGTGAATCTGTGGCATCAGTGCTATCAGTCAGAAGGATTGTTTCATCTGTGCTGGTTGATCCGGTCCAGATCAAGTAACCTGACAACTTTAATGGATGCTGTGCCTGGCAGGTCTTCTATTTTAACCAAATTACACAATGCATTATCAAAATCTGGGTCGTGAAACTGAAATCGAAAGTCAAAAGTCAACTTAAGCCTAGTTTTGATTTCATCTATGAGGGCCTGAACGCTGCTTGGGCGAGATGACAAGATAAGCCTTTCAGCATTATCAGTGTCAAGGATGATCCGTAGTTTCAAGCTCTCTTTTGCTTCCATCTGGAGTTGCAGTTTCTGTAACAAACAAGATTCAAATATAGTGATATTTCAAGACATGATCAGCTGTCTATTATGTCATGTATGCATTACATTTATACTGTTGAAGGGCTGGGAGATCAGCTTATGTTTCAGTCCTTGTTTTTTAGTCTGACACTAGAATGAAATGTTTCGTTGTGAGAGTCAGCTCATTTCCAATCTTGTAAGCAAAATGAGGGATGTAGTCCGACAACTGGCTGAAAGATTTTACACTATGACCCTTCAGTTGATGCTCTACTACTTCATATGACATCAAGTGTTCTACATAAAAGGTCTCATAGTCTTTCAAGAGAAAATAAATGCCATTTCTGACAAGCAATATGTTCCGAATTTCTTTAAACTCTGGCAATGCAGCATATGCCCCCGTACATACAAACATGCCAATTTCAAAGTTTGTGCCATCAATGGTTACTTTTTTTGTTCCGTATACAGTGGGATTATCAGCAATGCTAGAGATCAATGATTGTGTATCTGCTGGTAATGATGAAATGTACAAAGACTCCATTTTAGATGTCTGCACAGGTTGTTTGAAAAACTTTGATGATGACAAATAAAATGCCATCATGCTTTGATGTCGTTCTGCCAACATTTTTAACACATTCTTGTAGTTGTGAGTGTCATGAATTATTTTTTTGAAAACCTTATGCTTTCCTTCAAATCTCATAGTCCAAAGATGGACTAAGGGACCAAAGCACTTTATCAAGTGCGGGTAATGCTCGATGTAATGATGCTTTGGTCTAAATCGAACATTTGGAAACACTTCCTGGAAGAGTTGCCGGTGGTCCAGTATTTTACAAGCCAGATACTGAATGGTCTCTTGATTAAAAGTATGACTCATGGCAAGCTGAACAATATCCTTTAAGTCCATTAGCACTTCCCAAAATTTGTCTCTTTCGGGGACTTTTGAGCCAATGAGAAGTGGTAACAGTCTAAGCAGGGCATGATTCTCATGTCCGTTCCCACCAATGGTACCACGGCAAGCAAAATTTGTTGGTATTAGATGAGGGCGATCAACTTTGTCAGAATGTTGGTATGGAAAGCGCAATATTCCTCTGTTTAAGTCTTCTAAGGTAAAATATTTCTTAGAAATCAAACCTTTTATGCAATGCGCCAACTCCACAGGAACGACACCCTCAAATAGGTCGTGTAGTAGGTCAGGTGGAAAGCCTGTGATAGGATGAAAGAAGGAAAGATGATCAGAAAGAACACAACTGTTTTTCACACCATAATTTTCCTCACTGCCATTCTGAAGCTCTTGTACAAGATTATCATGAGCAACTTTTGTTCTCATCACATAATCCCCTGTAACAGCATTTTCTGTTTGCATTTCTGTTTGTTTGGCATGACAAAACCTGCAGAAATGTGTAGACCTGAAACTCTCATTAAAACCAGCAAGCCCATGGGCAGCAAGGTTATCTGCCACAACAGAGTAGACAGTGCCTTTAAGACATTCACCAAGGGTATCAATATAGACACCTACTTCTTCCAGAGTTCTCAGATCATTTAGGAGAGGTGAAAACAATTTCTTATACCCAAAAAGGCGTACATCATTAGAATTGCACAAGAGAGCGAGCTGAGTGCAATGGAGAGCAGAACGGGATTTGACTGGAAAGTTTGCCAGTGCCCAATAAACTGCAAAAACCTTATGTATTTTCTTTGAAGTGCCAAGTGGGTTTGCAATTTCAAAATCATCAACATACAGTATTATTGACAGTTTAGGACCCTCTTGTGACAGTAGAACATTTTCCTGGTAGTAGGATCCATCACAAAATGATTTGAAATGTCCAGGTATCTGTGTGGGTGCCCGTTTAACTTCTTCAAGCACATCTGCTTTTTTCAACAGCAGTTGCAAAGATGTAAGAATTGGCACATACATAAAGGTGTGCTTTGAGGATTCAATTAAGTACTCCACAGGCTTGACAAATGGAAAGTTTGCTTCATAGTATGATTTTCTCTTCTTTGCTGTTGAAAGCGGTCCTTCAGATGTGATGCATTTATGTAAAATGTTACTATCAGAAACCGTCTGACAAATCTCATCAACCACTTTGTCAGTATATGGACAGTTATGTTTTTTCAGTATTTCAGCAACTGTTTTTCTGATCAGTGGTTCAGATAATAAAAAAAATATTATCAATATGCTCAATTATCTCCTGTGTTGCTCTCTGTGAAACATGGAGAATGCTCTGCATTTTCAAGAAAAAACCAGCCAGATTGTACTGCAACTGCTCTTCCAAACCCTCTGTACTACTGATTTCATTAGTGGATGCTTCTTCATTTTCATGTATTGACTCAGTTGAGTCAAGCTGCAAGTCATCTTGGTTTATGTTCATGACACTATGCACAATGCTTTCATCATAGTTTGTTGAATTTTGGTGGTCTCTGCATTTGTGGGCATTAAATGTCGAATAGACATTTGTTTTAAAACTGCAGTCCTTAAAAGGACATGGCACAGTTTCTTTCTTTTTTAAATGCCCCCTGAGATGGATAAACATTTGCCTTTCAATGAATGGCTGCCTAAAGGTACACACAGGGCAACAAAATCCATAATCCATAAGAGATGGATAAGAAAGTTCTTCTCTTTGTGTAGCAATGTGCATTCTTGACATATGTATCTTTAAAGAATTAAATGTACTAAATGTACACATGCAGTCGTTGTAGAGACAGTTAAAGGTGAAATTGTTGAATACTGACCATGGTTAAGCCGATAATGCTTTAGCAACATGACCTTTACTGCAGTAGAAAAACTACACAACTTGCAATTCCACATTTCTGAAAATAAAAAAGGGTCACAATTAGATATCAAACACTTTATATTACCTTCTCTGGCTGTCTTCAAGAGGCTGAACAGAAGTGGTGGTTATGGTCCTTCCAAGTGTGCTTCCTTTTAAATCAAACCTTGCAATGCAACATAATAAAAATATTGTAACATGTTAACCCAGAGCTACCAGCACATTAACTACACCTAAAATGTTCCATGTGGATAGCAGAAACTAACTACATTTACAATTTTTAAACATCTGGTGTAAAAGAAATAAAAAACTTAAAATGTTTGCAAAGTCTAACAAAAAAAAAAAAAAAACAATGTCTTCGGCCACGCAGTTTGAAAAAGTACGTTTAAGCACACAGTTTTAATCAAGCCGCCCCTGTTATATTTGAATATGTACAGGAGGGATTGTCCCAGCACCAATTTATTTTCACAAACGCTGTGTTAACAAATTCGAACTAAAAAAATGCGCAGTTGCTTTGTAAAAGTAAACTATTTAACCGAACAACCTACCGCAATATTTTAAATTTATATATGTAAACTTCAGGCAACCTTAGGCGGGAGATGTGCTCGCAAGCTCCGTTTTTCTGCTTGATATTGGCAAAGTCGTTTGATAAATTCGGTTGCAATCTCTGTGTATGTATTTAAACAACAAGAAAAAACATTTACCTTGATATTTTCACGTAGTCACTGAAGCTCCCCTCTGTGCTGAGTTCGTCTGGTTCGAAGTTTGCAGAAAATGCGAGAAGTCCGGGCAAAACTCTTTGGCGGCGTGTGCAAAACTCAGTGATAACGTAGACGGGTTTTTTTTTTTTTGTCTGAATCAGTCATGATTACTTGAACAGTTTAAAGCAAATCTAATCAAAATCAAACATAAGCGTATGAGTACTTATTATAAGTGAGTTAGTATATCACATTGTTAGTTTTGAACCGACATAACACAGTTTATAAAAGTAATTTTGACTTTTTAGCTGAACTGAGTAAAAATAACTTAATTCTTTTAGTGAGAAGCACCATTGGGTTTTACAGTGTAACTATAGAGATAGCTCAGGATAACCTGAGCCACCCTAACTATAAGCTTTATCGAAAAGGAAAGTTTTAAGCCTAGCCTTAAAAGTAGACAGGGTGTCTGCCTCACGGACTAAAACTGGTAGTTGGTTCTACAGGAGAGGAGCCTGAGAACTAAAAGATCTGCCTCCCATTCTACTTTTAGAAATTCTAGGAACCACTAGTAAACCTGCAGATTGAGAGCCAAGTGCTCTGTTAGGAACATAAGGAACAATCAGATCTCTGATATCAGATGGAGCTTGGCCATTTAAGGCTTTATATGTGAGAAGGAGGATTTTAAATTCTATTCTGGATTTAACAGGAAGCCAATGAAGAGAAGCCAGGATAGGAGAGATATGATCTCTCTTTTTAATTTTCATCAGAACTCTGGCTGCAGCATTTTGGATCAGCTGAAGGCTTTTAACTACAGTTTGTGGACTTCCTGATAGTAAAGAATTACAATAGTCCAGCCTTGAAGTAACAAATGCATGGACTAGTTTCTCAGCATCACCCCTGGACAGGATATTTCTAATTTTTGCAATGTTCCTCAGATGAAAGAAGGAAATTCTAGAAACCTCTTTGATCTGGGATTTAAATGACAGGTCCTGATCAAAAACAACACCAAGATTTTTTACTTTATTATCTGAAATCAGTTTAATCCCATCCAAATGAAGTGACTGGCTAATCAGCTTCTTTTTCAGAGACTCTGGTCCAAAGACTATAACTTCTGTTTTGTCTGCATTCAGAAGCAGAAAGTTAAGAGTCATCCAGGTTTTTATGTCTTCAGACATGCCTGTAATCTATGTAATGGGTTAGCTTCATCTGGATTATAGACAGATATAGCTGGGTATCATCAGCATAACAGTGGAAATTAATCCCATGCTGTCTAATAATTCTACCAATTGGGAGC